GATGCTGTTACTTGTATATGTATGCTGTGATGTTGTATCGAAGAAGCAGAAGGAGAAGATAGATGATGTCTTGTGTGAAAATATTACTGCCAGATAAGACTTACTATGCTCTAAAGAGGCAAATTAGCAATATAAATAAGGAACTGGATAAAGCGTTCAGTGGTCAAACAAAACAGAAAGGCTTGTAGGGTAGTGAAAATAAATTAAATACTTTTGCTTTTAGTAATTTCCTAATAATTTTGTAGCCCTGCTTTGCAGCACTGGAAATGCCCACCTCACTTTGGCCACAGTGAAATGAGATGTCAGCGCAGTACCCTGTTGAGATACAAATTTGGGGACAATAATTTCAAATTGAAGATTAGAGGGGGGAGTATAGGTGTGTCACCCATGCATTATCCTTCATGATAAGAGTGTGAAGTTTTAATTTCCAAATCAGTCATTCCTCCTGCATGGTTCTGTCCTGGCATTTGCTATGGTCATGGAATGATACGTACTCAGTTATGGTTGCCAGGCCAGTTAGTGAAGTGTGGTTACTACAGCAGCTGCTACAGCTCTTTCTGGGCTTGTACCCTGCAGATTTAAGGGAAATGGAGATATAGCAGCAGCTGTCCCACAGAGATGCTGAAAAGTTGGGAAAAAGGACTAAGAAGCTGGTATTTTTTAAGCAAAAAAGGTGAAGACAAATGTAACACTTCCACATTTTGTTTTAATGAAAATTTATTTTAAATTGGGTGAGGCAGCCTAGGGAGTGGGTGCTTCACTGGATAGGGTCATAGATTTTCTACAAGAAGGATGGCCTTGCCTTAAAATGCTTCTGCTCTAGCTCATAACTCTACCAAACTGTTGAGAGCTGAAGAATTTTAATTGATTTAGGAGGGTTGTCCACACTTTTAGATTCATCTATGGTCCTATTCCATACATTGGGCTAGAGCTTTCAGAAACAGGAGTACACTTAGGAAAGGACAGAAGCTTTAGCAGAAAATCCAGTGGTAGTTGAAGTCTCACTGAAATGCATTTTTTTAACTTCTTATGCTCACGGATATCAAGTTATAACTCTGCAGCATCAGCAGTGAGGGGACACTTCAGTAGCATACCAGCATCAATGTCAAAGAACAGAACAGAAGGACATCCTCACCAGCACTAGTTTAGCAGAGGGGGGCTGAACTCAGTGAGATTGCTCTCTAGTGAACAGCAGTGGTGATCACAGAGGAGTGACTTCAGATGCTCTGATATGGTCTCTGGAAAAGCCTTTCCAAAGGCTTTTGGAGCCATGTAGGGGGTGTAGGGAGATTCACCTCCTTGTCCTTGGTTTGGGTAATGGTTCCTTTCTAGATTAATACCACTGCCTCCTATCAGTGTGACTACAGTGACATTAAAGCTTGAATAATTCTCCATCTGCCATCAGTAGTAATGTAATCTGCCATTACTTTTCTAATTAATAGGTTAATCATTGAAGTTTTGAGGAATATATTATAATATTAGCTTATTAAATATTATTCCAAACTATGCTTTAAAGGAGCCAAGTTTGCAGCAATTTAGTAAGATAGCTGCAATGAGGAAGTAAATTTATGTTGTCCTGTACTGATGTTGTTCCATGCTAGGCAGCTTGTACTTAGGAAATAGAAAACAAAATTTGGCATCATAAATATATTCATTAATGTTAATGTAATGATGATGACAACAGTTACAATGATGATAATTTTATTAAAAGATAGTTTGTAGAAAGTGGTCAAACTTTGCCTGAGTGTGGAAAAGCAGTTAATTGGTGCCATGGTCTTTTATTATTCTCATTATGCTGTCTCACTAAGTATCCTTTTGAAACCAGCCTCATTGTTATACCTTATAAGCACTTAACAGAAATGAGTTTGAGTGCTACTACTATTACTGTTACACTGCAATCTGGAGATTGTACACAAGCAAAATTCCATGTCCTAGTAAGGACTAAGGGCCACCTCAGCTTGGGTCACCTAGTGTTAGTTAATTGCCTACTCCTAAACATAGAGGACATTTCCCAGGAGCTCTGATCAAATCCAAAGGCACTTTGTTGTCAAACAACTTAGATCCTAGTTCATTTTTATGTTTATTCACCATCTTAACCAAACAGCTAATTCTTACACTAGGTGTTTGTCTGTGTGTCTTGTTTGAGAGACATTAGTAAGTTGTTATTCTGGGGTACAGTTAAGATTCTTTGCACGTTTCTGTGCTGGCTACTGGTTTTTGTTTTTTTTTTTTTTGTAAAACATAGGTGGAGGAAAAGGTATATTTTCTAAGATAGATTAATGATTAAATCATTCACTGAAAGCCTCTCCCAAATTCTAGCTTTGTTTCCAAATGTGCTGGATCAAAATGTGTGCCCTTCCGGTAAAAATATTTGTGGAAATTTCGTGGTACACAGTAGTATTAAACCCAGTGTATTTTGAAGAAAAGCTATGGAAACAAATGGCTTGCAGTAATGAATTATTAAGAAACATTGTAAGGAATGTAACAATTTTCAGATTACTACTATGCATGTTACTTAGAAGTTTGGATTCCTCTTTTTGTTTAGAGCATGGCTGTGTCCCCCCCTTCAAATGCCCACTTCATGTACTCCAAGTGGAAGTAATGGCTGCTAATACAAAGTGCTCAGCTGCTTTGCTAAAGTAAGCCACTAGGAACACACAACTTCGATTTGTCTTTCCCAATAAATATGGAGTTTGGTTTCTCACTGCTGTGCTGATGTTTAAAACTCCAAAAAGCGTGGCTCAGCTACCTGTGAGAATGCTTGTCCTTCCATGATGACTCACTTAACTGGGGTCATGAAGGAGTTTTGTCAGAAGAAAGAGCTTTTCCTGCAGTTCATCTGCCTGACATGACGCTCCTTGCCACATCAATGGAAGTGAGCCCTGCTTTCACCTTCTGAACTAGATGGAAGCCCCATCTCTTGAGCCTTCAGCAACTCTCAGGAGAAAAAGTTACACGGTCTATGAATTAAATCCCCCCAAATCTTGTCCTTTTGACAGGACCAGAAGTGGAAGAGATTTCTGCACTCACATTTCAGAAAAGAGCACTGAGAGAACAGTGTTGATTAAGTTTATACAACCTGATGCATGTTGTTTGCTAACTCTGTTTGCTTTTTCCCTGTCTGACTTTATCGAACAATTAGTACCACCAAACACTGAGATCCTACAGTCAATTCTATGCAAATGAACTGATGGACTTGAATGGAGTCAGCTATGAGCAGTTGTATGAATGAAACAGTCTCAGACACAGTTTTTCTAGGAAATGGGGGTATTCTGAGAATGATGTCCCTTTTTTTCCATGTCAGGTTTTACTGTTAATTTTGAGAGTCCATACATTAAGGGAGTTAGTGTCCCAAGTGCTAGTGTAGTTTGGGGAGGGATCTTGTATAAATTGATTTTAAATCTGTCTGCAGGCTGCACCTCTTAATCTTCTTAAAAGGGTTTTGTCAAGAGAGCTAATGCTTATTAGTACCTGTCACCTAGTGCACAGTCAAAAAAAAGGAATGGGTGAAAATCTTACTTGAAATACTTCAAAAGGGAGCTGCTGTAGTTGGTTGTGGTTTGAAGTGGTGAGAGGATGTCACTGTGATGTAGAAGCAACTGTATACACCAGAGAGTTATTCTTCTCATCTGTAGTTAATAAGGGTAAGTTGGAGTATAAATGAGGATAGATATTTAATCCCTCCTAGACTTAATTTAATAAGAAAGATGAGACAGAGATTCTGTGTGAGTAGGATTTGGGCTTCTTCCCTGAGACAAAGTTTTGGATCCCTTAAGTCTTTGATTCCAAAGAGGAATCTTTACAAAAATCCTGTTGGAAGGAGTGCTTACACTGTGGGTGTAACAAAAAGATTATAGAGATATGTATTTGTGAACTTAGTCTTTGTTCATTGTAAGTTACCTGACTTCTGTTAATTTAGAAGCTCATCCACCGGCTAAAAGAACATTTTTGTCAATAAAATTAACTAGCAGCATTTCAGTGAGTGATAGGTCTAATGATTACTGACAGTTGTCTATCTTCCTGGTACCCCTTTGTACATAAATGATTTCTGCATCTGATCCAGCATGATCTCCTAGGAACATTCTATGTTTCTTTCTGTGTGTAGTGGTAGGCATTTAGTCTGTTATGAAAGATTCTTTCTAATGCTTCAGCTAGTGGTTGGCTTACTTGCTGATTCATAATGTTTGATAATCACATTTAAAATATATGTTATGGAGCTAATTCACTTTAGTTTCATAAATACATAGTAGTTTTCTGAACCTGCTGTACTGCTGGTCCACATGCTACCTTGTTGGGGGAAGTTCTGTGATCTTATTTTTCTGGAAATCTTGTTGTTTTAAAGGTGTTGCTATCATAGATTTTAAATATTTGGATTAAAACTCTTTACCCTTGCCAATGAAGAGTTAAGATTCTTGCTTGCGTATTTAATTTGTCCAACATTAAGAGACAGGAACTGCATGAAAGAGAATGTACTTTAATAAAGTTGTCTTGCTTGAAAGTGAGAGAGAAAACAGAACACTCAAGTTAGTTTGTACCTGGTAAAATGCAGAAAAGAGATGGGGATATTGGAGTTACTGCTGATATCGAAAGCTTTTCTTTTAGCCAGATAGAGAACTTCCATTTTGGGCACCAATTCCACAGAGCTCTTGTATGTTTGGACTTCTGTTTATTCGTGTTCCCTTACAAACTTAAAATGATATATCATTATAAGCTCTTTAAGATAAGGACTGTATCATCATATACGCTTTTACAGTAATTGCTACAGCAGGACTTTGGTGCTAAATGGGGCTTCTGGACACTGCTGAAATGATAATAGTCATGCTCAAGTTGATAACGGACAGTTGTTAGGATGTTTTGAAAGGGTTTCATTACGTACCTGTACGTAATTGGTTTATATTATAGTGTGATGTTTAATGCAGACATTTGTAAGCTTGGTGCATGTAGGTGGGGATGTTTCTTTGATAAAGCCCTTGAGAATTTTGTCCTTTGTTTTCTTGCAGACCTTTGGAACGTTCCAGTGAAGATGTAGATATAATATTCACACGACTGAAAGAAGTGAAGGCTTTTGAGAAATTTCATCCAAACCTTCTCCAGCAGATATGTCTCTGTGGATATTATGAAAATCTGGAAAAAGGAATCACATGTAAGAGAGCTTCATATGATAGCCTATTTTAAGTAGATAAAATTAGGGGTTAGGCTGGGATTGTCTCTAGGAGATTGATGAGAGAGCACAGTCAGTGGAACGGCCATAAAAGTGTTTACAGTCATAGTCATGGGGGAAGGCAGGACTAAAGTGCTGCTTGCTCTACAAATGCAGTGTATAGTGAATCTATGGTAACAATGCACGCATTATTGGATTTAGGACTCTGCCACTGTTTTGTTGCAAGATTAGAAGCAAGTCATTACACTTAAGCCTCATTCTTCCCCTGTAAATGTATTATTGATCTCTTTTGTAGGTGCTTTGTGATGTCAGGGGCAAAAGCATATCACCTAGGCATATCACTAATAGCGTGTGGTTTGCAGTCACTGAATAACACAAGACAGATTTGCAGAGCTGCATACTGTTGTGGGGTACAACAGCTCTGTGCCTTCTCTGGCAGCCCATGTGCCAGATGAAGGTGGATAGGTGTGCTTGGTCTATGAAGCTGAGATCAAATTAAGTGGTGGTCCTGTGATGGGAATGTGTGAGTTCCCAGAGCTGTACCAGGGGAATAGCTAATGGAGATCTGTGGTATTTAGTAGAGTCTCGGGTACCCCTCAGGTACATCTGGCATGCTTTAGGCACACAGCACTGGGGTTTACTTAGAGTAATAGGAAATCTAATACTCTGTACTCACACAGTTGGAATGCATGAACACCAAAGTCCTGCAGTTGCTTCTCAGCCGGAACTCTTACTGAAGTCAGTGGGAGCTGTGTCTGCTTTGGAAGATTCTGAATTTAAAAGGGACATCGTTCAGAAAGTCTTTTTTGCTGTTGTTGTTGTTCTTTATTTTGTTTGTTTATTTTGTTTATTAAGACAGCAGTAAAAGTGAAGCAAACTGGGGAGAAGAGTGAAGCCATTCTATGTGCTTTCATTGTTTTTGTAGTGTTATCGACCAGTTTACTAATATATGTGCTTTCCAGTGTCATTGGAAACACTATTGTAATAGTAAGTAAGTAGGCTGATATGACAAATTCTATAGTGCCAGCAGTGACTATAGTAGTACAGTAATGTGAAAGAAAATGTTTGTTAATGTTGCTAAACTTAAAGAGATAGCTTTTATTTACAAGATTTCATCTTTCCAGTATTCCGTCAGGGTGATATTGGGACAAACTGGTATGCTGTTCTGACAGGATCATTGGATGTGAAGGTTTCTGATACAAGCAACCACCAGGTAAAACAGATTTTTCGTTTAAACCATCCAGTCAGTAGTACAAAGAAAGGGTATGACTTATGCTGAGGTAGATAACAATAACATATATCATACAGATATTTTGTCCTATCACAAGCATGTTTCTGAGTCTGCTTTAGTCTCAGTTGTCCTTTCTCTATGGAGGTAATGCTCTGAAAAAGGGTCTACATTTTAATATGAAACATGACTCCTCTGTCTTTTCTAATAGTGCCATATGAAGTTAAGCTAAAGATCTAAGAGTTATTAATTCATTCCCTGGAAATACTTTAATTCAGTCCTTGTTCAGAAAGTTCAAACCAAACCCACCAACTATGCAGTTGGATAACAGCATACTGCAGTCTCCACTGCAAGAATGGGAAAGTATTACAGTAATAGTAGAGTATTGGAACTGCTGCCATGTTAGACCGGAAGCCTGGTATTAACAAATACAAGAACAAGTAAAATTCCCCCCAAATTGCAAGCTATTTCTCAGTATCTTGGACTCCGGGATTTACAAAATCGGGGAATTTAGAGTAAATAAATAAGTAAAAAGATGGGATATTCCTCCTGGAAAGTCTCCCACCCATGTCGTCTAACATCATGCTGACAAGTCATGCACTTCCTCCTGCCAGTTGAGTCTTCTGGGAAGGCATCATGTCCCATTCCCTGCTCCCATGTTTGAGATCTGGGATTGTCCCATCATGTAGGTCAGCATGGGGTTGTACCTCTGACATGTAACTCATTGTGCCTTCACATAAGTGGTACAACTACCCAGGACTTGAAGTGTAACACTACCCCTTTTTCCCACCTTGACTGAATATAGCATACATGGGTGGTGGTGGTGGTGTATTCTTTGCCCAAAGTTTGGCTGATTGAGGAAGGCTTCTTGCTCATAGCAGATTGGCAGAAATTGGATTTTTCACTTTGTTAAGCACTGCATCACCAGTGAAATTGGGTCAGAATGCAAGTCTGGGCAGTGTGTGAGCACTGGGTCTTTCTACTCACCGTAAGATGATAGATACAAAAGGAATTTCTTTCATATCATTATTTTTAGCAACCTCTTCACTGTACTAAGTAGAGACTGATTGAGAGTGTAATTAGCCCAATTTGAGCAATTCTCAGCACGGCCTGGCTGTCATTGGTATTGTCACGATTTGGAACAGGACTGGAGTCTTACGAGACCCTTTTCTGTGTGGGTGTAAAGCAATCAGGAGTATTTTCCGGTGTTTGCCAAAAGATGGCACTACACTGTTGTTAAGGTCCAATGCTCTTTACTGAATCAGAAAGAAATATATCCACAAAAATGTTCTGGATGTGGAAGTTAAATTAAGAATCTGTTTGGAGTGTTGATTTGTTCCATTAGATGGAGAATGGAACACTTCAGCCTTTTAAGAAATCTAATATGAATATTTTTTTCTGCTTGTTCAGATTCACTGCATTTTCCTGCCAATAGGAAACTATAGGACTATAATTCGCATAGTTCTAGTTCTAGAAATTATATTCTGCATTAATTTCTTAGCCTCACATTTCCTTCTCTCAGGAGCAATGAACTGAATTCTTACCACTGCCTAGTTGCCATAGGATACAGCCTCACTGCCAGAAGGACAGCAGCTCATGCATTTACCATTCTAGTGCTGGATAAGTTTGGTGATTAGGGACTCCTAAATAGTATTTAAGTCCAATATTTTATCTGGTTTTGCCCCAGCTTGGTGTTTATACCGTGTCCCCACCTTGTCCATCCTTGGTCTCCTGCCTTTAGCTCCTGGGTACCCTGTTCCAGTCTTGCCTGTACTTTGCTGTTGGCATGGTGCTGGTCATCATTGAGCTTGAAGTACTTGCTAGCACTCCCTGCCTACTGTGCTCACTACAACCACAGGTGATGGAGAACATACAGTGTAGCTCCATAGGTGGGCAGCCCTGACAGACTCAGTTGCCAGCATTGTGCTCCCAGCCAGGAATGGATGACCAGTGCTTAAGATGTAGGAATGCTTGTAACCTACCCTGGAGCACATTTTCCAGTAACAGCACCCAGGAGCCAAAGCTTCCTTTGCAAAGTCATAGTCACGGTCAATTGCTCTGCTGGTACCATATGTTACCATAAATGGCACTAATGCTAATGAGAAACTTCCAGCAGAGCAGAAGAGATACAGAAATATACCTGAGTTTACAAGTTTAAAAGTTTCTTTTCTCATGTAAAAATACAGAAGGACTATGCCATCTTTTCTAGGAAGACAGAAGCTAACTTTGTATTTAGGTTCCTATTGGTTAAAAAGTCTTTAGACACGACTAATAATCTTGTAATACTTAGGATAAGCAGGATGTACTAGATGACCTCCTGAATTTTCTTGGAGCTTGAATTTTCCTATGATTATATGATGATGCCTACAGTGTTAATGTAAATACAGAAAATCAATTCTCTTGATTAAAAATATTAGTCCCACTTTTATTAGGTGTTTGTATGTCTACCTGGGGAACTTAAATTTCAGCAAGCATGGGAATAAATGTGTTGTGTAGCAGCTACCATGTGCTAATTCTTTATGCAGTCACCTTTGGTGTTTTGTAGCTTTCTCCCATTAAAAGTGCAGTAAGTTATTGTCGTGGTTTAACCACAGCCAGCAACTAAGCACCACACAGCCACTCCCTGCACCCAGTGGGATGGGGGAGAAAATCGGGAAAAGAAGTAAAACTTATGGGTTGAGATAAGAACGGTTTAATAGAACAGAAAAGAGGAAACTAATAATGATAATGATAACACTAATAAAATGACAACAGCAATAATAAAAGGATTGGAATGTACAAATGATGCGCAGTGCAGTTGCTCACCACCTGCCGATCAACACCCAGCTAGTCCCCGAGTAGCAATTCCCCACCCTCACTCCCCAGTTCCTAAACTAGACGTGATGTCCCATGGTATGGAATACACCGTTGGCCAGTTTGGGTCAGCTGCCCTGGCTGTATCCTGTGCCAGCTTCTTGTGCCCCTTCAAGCTTTCTCGCTGGCTGGGCATGAGAAGCTGAAAAATCCTTTAGTCTAAACACTACTGAGCAACAACTGAAAACATCAGTGTTATCAACATTCTTTGCATACTGAACTCAAAACATACCACCGTACCAGCTAGTAGGAAAACAGTTAACTCTATCCCAGCTGAAACCAGAACAGTTATTCTGCAGTGTGTGCTAAAAATGTCTTAATAGCCTTTGCTCCTACAAAGGCATGTAGTTACATGTCTTGCACTAGAATTTATATCTAAATGCACTAATGGATCCAGACTTCAGTGTAGCTAGGGAAGCATTAATTTGTACACATCTTTGCTGTGCATCAGCTTACTCATGCAGACACCCATGATTTCTCACAGAAAATGTTAGTAATACTGATCAAGATCAAGCTGAGAATTCATATAAACAGAAATATTAACATTACCTATTATTTGCTATTATGATAAGAGGAAGCATTCCATTTACTGATTTAAATGTTTTAATAAAGACAAACACACATATTTAAGATCTCATAGGTAAAGCCTTGCTTTCATCTTGGTTTGGAAAATTTTCTGGCTGGTTGCAAAACTGTATTATGTCACAAGAGGGCAGTATTAGAATATATAACAAACTGAGTACAAGCACTATTTAATACTAAAATGGCTAGTTTGAAAACCACATTCAACTATTTACAACATACCTATTTTAAAGAGTTTGACCAGAGAAGATTTCTTTGCTGCTGTTAGTTCTGTTCCACTGAGGTGATAAAATATGGTAGCTGCTGCTGATCGTGATGGTAATTTCATTTGCCATTGAATGGGACAATACAGTTTACAGTACAGAGATCTGCAGGATTACCCATCCAGTACATCCTGAGTGGTGGCTGGTCTGCTTTCTATACAAATTATTTATGAATTTTCTGGCTATTCGACAATCAAGAAGAGACTGAAGAGGACTTTTTTAAGGTAAAAATATCACACTATGATTTGCAGAGGTACGTGTAATGAACTGTTTTGGTCTTGCCTCAACTTGTTTGTAACAAATATATATTGTGATATATATTGTGCTTAAAAGTCACACAAAGAGTTCGTAAGTCCCCTTCAAAATAAACAGAAAATGCAGCCTGTTTAGAATCTATCAGAAAGAGGTCTTCACCCTCAGTTATGAACAGATTCTGAATTTAACTTTTCTTTGGCACTGTTACCTACCCAATGTTACAACCAAGGTATACAGTAATAAAAGTCCCTCTTTGAGGTATTCCTAATTTGGTGTTGTCTTAAAAATACTGCTGACTGCCTTATGTATGTTCAATTTTTGAACTCTATTTTGAAAATGAACAGATTCTGAAGGATGTTGATAATGTCTCAGAATAAAGCTGGGAATAAATGCATTACGACCAAAGCATCAGTGCGACATCTTTGCATCTTTGACATTCTGCAGCATTGTGTTTTACTGAATTAGATTCAGAGCCTTTTACCACAAATGATTAAGATTTATATTCCTATCTGATAAAACGGGAAGGAATGAAGAGAAGAAAGACAAAGACCAAATAGCAATTTGATCAGCAGTTTTACTGTAGTCTGCCAGCTGAATTACAGCGTGCGCTAGGGGCTATTGCTAGTTTATCTTGTCTGTGTTTTGGTGATTTTTTTTTAAACTGATCAGATTTTAAAAACAGACCAAACTCAATACAGGGCATTGACTTTACAATTAGCCTTTTTTAGAAAAGCTTTAAAGGAGGAGCTGTGGGTGCTTGGGTGGTACAGCAGTGTCAGTTGTAGGAAGATGCAAAGGGCTGGGGATCAAAAGCCAAATAAGTTAGTGGTGTTGCTGAGAAGAATAACTGTGAAGAAAGAGGTTCAGATGTCCGTGTAAGAAAGGGAAGAATTTCCTGGCTGTTTGAAACTGAAGACAAAGGAGGTATGTGATAAGATGAAGTGGAAACAAGGAAAGGGATTTAAACAGGACAGTCCTTGTAATACTGCTTTTTGCCTGTAAATGCCATTTTGTGTGCATGTAAATAGCCATTATGTATTTTGGAGATAACCTATGTGAAGTTGTGACATAGGTTCGTACTGTAGTCTGTAGTGTAGTGTAAATATGCCCAAGCTAGCTCTAAATTACTTAGTATGAGCATGAGAACTGGTATAGCCATTGTAACACAGAGATTGGCTGGACTAAAGTACTCAGTTGAGAAGCAGGGTCTGTTGGTCCATGCTGAGTTCCACAATGTCGTGGTTGTACTAATTTTGGTTTTGAACTTGACTTATTGAAAGTTAATGTGGAAAAATCACTTCACTTCTGTCTGCAAGGTAACCTCGCAAAAATTCCAAGACATTGCAGGTAGCTTTTAGAGGATCAGATAGAAACGTATGGAAATAATGAATATATTATGACAGTACAATTAATCTGATCTGTAAATATCTTAATTAGGAACTAGAAGAGAAGTTGGTCACAGTCTTTCTAGATGCATAATGCCTCCTTTGAGCAAATCACCTTGTTTTGTGTAAAGAGGATCGCCTAACTTATGTTGGCAAACCGCAATTCTAGTGTGGGAAGATCTTTCTATGTTGTCTTTAAAAGCAGTTTGATAAAGATTTCCTATCTGAATGGCTGAAACATATTCCAGTGGAGATAATGGAACAGGAAGATCACTTCATAGAACAGATAGTTTACTTTCATGTGTATCCTTTGGTTTCTCTGTTATCAAAGGAAATTTTTGCTGAGGACAAACTGAACTGTGTCAACTGTGTTTCTTAGTAATAAGAAAACTTTTCAAAATGCCAGCTTTTGCAGATCTCCAATTAAACATGGAGATGGTATGGAGTCCTGGAGGGACACAGGTGCAGAGGTGAGTTGAAGGTACAAGGTGTAGGAAAAATGATGAAATTAAAAACAAACTAGCTACATCAACTCCTTTATAAACTCAAAGTATTGAATAAACTAAAATTTCAGAGAAAAGTCCCCAATCCCTTTCAACCTAGGACTTGTAATTTTTTTTCCTATTTTCTTCATTTCTCTCTCAGACACCATGATTTTGTTTACACACAGTACAAAAATTCTGTTTGCCAGGTTGGAAAACAGAAAGTGGCACAAGTCAGGGAGGAGCATGCAGGGATGTGCCTTGTGATGGTGGGGGAGGGAATAAGGCAGAGTCTTTTTCTGATTCTCATCCGTTCCATAGAAAGGTCTTACAAATTCAATAATGTTTTAGATTGATGGGGGGGAGGGGGGGGTAACAACTGTTTCACTGCATGTGTCTCACCTGCCAGTGAGAGTCAGTGAAACTGAATACACAAACAGCCTCTGATTTGAAAGCTACCATTTTATAGTGTGTTCAGAGGACAGACAGCAATGGAAACAATCTCATCTTTTTAAGTCTTTAGTACTGCCTTTTAAATAGCTGTGTGAATTTTAGCTGGTTACCAGCAGCTAGAACCCCCTGCTGCTTCTGGGATTGCAGAGGGGAACAGCAAACTGAATTTTGAGCTGCCAGCAATCCTCCTGAAGTCTACATTGAACAGCAGGAGATTCTTGAGTGTAAGGTTAACAGGCGTAATAGGAAATGCACACCTGATTCCCCAGGAGGCTGGAGAGGTATAAACAAGGGGCAGAGAGAAAATGGGGCTCTGAAGTCTTGAAAAAGACAAATGGGCTTGCTCCCTAGCTGGCTGTGAAACTGCCTCTCTATGGAGAGCAATGATGGCTGGGGAAAAAAAACTGAAAGAACTTTCACTTGATAAAAGCCTGGACTTTAATGATCGTATATAGGACCGTTCCAGCTTCTTGACTTAACACCCCACAATGTTAATTTATTTCTCGGGTTGAACAGCTGCCTCATCAGAAGTTATCTTAGAAAGTGGTTCCTTAACCAACACCTTTCATTTTCTCTTCTTCTGTATTCTGTCTTTAAAGATATATTCTTTAGGGTTGTAAAGAATCAAAAAAGGTGAAGCATTTCAAAGGTGTTTATTTTTTTGGAGGGAGGGAAGGTAGTGAGAAAGACGTTGGAAGATGTAAATATTGCTTATGACCCACCTAATGGAAAAGTTTCTGCCAGGATATTTGGTTATTCTGCCCTAAACAGAGATCTTTTATCTGAACTTTCTAAATAAAGTTGAGAATAATGTATTGGAGACCTGGAGATTTGTGTGAGCAGTAGGCACATTTTCTTTGTAGCTCCTTTGAGTGCAATTGTGAGTATGGTAGCACGCTTATAGTGTTTCAGCTCTGAAAGGTAAGCGTGTTAAGGCAGATCTTTAGTGTATAGCCTGTATTATAGACTGTTTGTAGAGACTTCTATTTAGGTGCCTAGGTGCTCATTCCCAAATATTCTTTCTTTTAAACAGTCCCTGTTCATGTTTCCTTCCTTGAAAATTTATTTCTTACAGTTGTAAATTCTTCCTAGATCTTTTCTAAGACATAATTGATTTTGTTTTCCTGAACACATAATTTTAGATGGTAATATCTGTGCAAAAGCAATTTGCTATGGTTCAGGGAACTGGACTATTATGGGCATTTGTCTTTGTAATGCAATTATAAAGCTACTAACTTGATCTTAATAACATTTGCCTATTAGCACTTATTAGATGCATGAAAGGAAGACAATGCAATTTTAAACACAGAAAATGATGCTGAAATATGCTCATGCATCTCTCCTGGATTATCAGCTGCAAGGATGTAGTGGATGGGATGACAAAATTTTCTGCTTTTATTTTTGTTTCATGAATCCCACATTTTAGAATTAAACTATATTTCTAATGTTGTATCGAGTAAAATTAGCATGTGTTTTTATATGTTTATGTGTATTTGTCTGTGTGCATGTGTGATTTCCTTAGTGAAGTACAGTTTGTATCAGTTTAAATTTTTAATGCTATTGCTATTTTTTTTTAATTACTTGAAAGACAGTCAATTAAGGCCCAACTTGGAAAGAGACATATGTAAGTGTTCAGCTTCAAGCCTGTGCTCAGGAACATAGCAACTTGTAAGCCTAGACTAGAACATGTATCTAAAGATCTTGATTCAGCAAGTTATTTAATTTCAAGTATTCTATTTTTTTGTCTGCAGTAGCTCAGAATTTATATTGGAACTATTACAGAGGAGTTCCTGGCCAAGGGGGATTGATTTAGGCATCTTCCCGTCATATGAATGGCATGTGCTCAAATAGACTCTTTTGAAGTGGACTTTACTGCATGTTTGGGACCATCCTGAATACTGTATTCCAGGTGGTTTTGGACTTTTAAATAGTTTTCTTGAAATCCCTGACTTATGTGAAAATAATTTTTTTTTAGTCTGATACATAATTGGCAGGCATCCATGAACAATTGAGAGATTTACTGGCATTTTCAACAGAAAGGCCAAGAGTTGATTAAACTGTACAACTGCATTGTGCACAGACCTTGTACAATAGAGAAATGCATTACAAATGCAAGAGGATATTATAATTGAAAGTTAAGTTTACTGAGAAAACATAACAGTCAAATTTTCTTTCTGATGAGCCTATATAAGGCAGAAATTTATATTCCCAGGTTGCATTTCTGATGCTAGTTATCTTCTAATCACCTCTGACATTTCTAAAGGATCTCATCACAGAAGTCTTTACAGGTAGATGAACAGAGGTCATAACTTTCTTCCAAAGGTGAAGGTAACTCTTGTGTTCTCTGCTTTGCAGGCAGAAATGTATAATTCAACTGATGGTCATAGAAAACAGAAGTCCTACTTACTTCCACATTGAAGCTTCCCGTTTGTTAATCAGTGTATTGATTTTTTTGTTTGCACTTTTAATTAATTTTCTTTTAGAGCAAATTGCTGAAGAATCTTAAGGCAGTGCTGTTAGCAAATGTGACATAAAGACTCTTAAAACATCCTGGAATGTTTAATATGTGTCCTTTTATTTTTAATTCAAAGGATGCTGTGACAATATGCACTCTGGGAATAGGAACTGCTTTTGGAGAGTCCATTTTGGATAACACTCCTCGCCATGCAACCATCGTTACCAGAGAATATAGCGAGCTCCTTCGAATTGAGCAGAAGGACTTTAAAGCACTTTGGGAGGTAAATTCAGATTTATATGCAGTTTATGCAGAAAAAAGTGATTTAACCTTTTAAGTGTTTGTAATGAAATATAAGCACATTTATACTGTAAGCAAAGTAATAATTCTTTTAGTTTGCACAAAAAGAAAAGTCTTTTTATTTCTTTTTAGTGCCTCATATTCTGTATGATTACATACTCCTGTATTTCTGTCTTGTGGGCTTCTTCTAATGAAATAACTTAGGTGAAATTTCTGGTGGAATTGTATACTGCAGGTGTTGCTTTCTTACCCTTAAACTTGCTTTTATAGCCAGCATTTATGAGGAGTCTATCCTTAGTATACTCTGATATTTTAAATTATTCTCCTTTACTCCTGTCTCATCACCAGCTGTAAGGGGTTTAGAATTTGCAGATGGATCAAGATCACTTAAAAATTAAGTTACTGATTACACATGAATTCCCTTAAAACTTTCCTTTGTGGAGAACGTACTGCTGAGGTTCTATAATCTCTGTGTACTTTGGTATCCATGCTGAGAAGACTTCATTAACATGTTACTTTGTGAAGTTGCTGAACTTCAATAATTTTTCATTTTTGTAAGCATTACACTTGATTTGAAAAGTGTTCTGGGAATTGGAAGGCATCCTGTTGGCCTGGCCTACACTATTTTCAGTTTGTACTGCCAGCTTGTTTTAAATGGTGACAATACAAATTTAGGTGTTGTATAGAGCTGTCAGATGCTGTGACAGTGTCCTAAAGTTGCAGATGTAGGGCCACATAACTATATTTAAGACATAGATGCTGGCTGTAGCATTTTAGTTCAGCTTCTCTCCTAAGTGCAGAAAGATGGGGTTTTTTTGGCTTTCTCTTTTCCTGAGAAAGAGCAGTATTATACTCCAAATAATTGTCCTAAAGCAGTACTAAAGTAAGGGTATCAGAAAGAAAATCAAATCCACAGCTAGCTACACTGACTGAGGAAACAGCACTAATGCCACCTGTCTGCAAATACGTTGCTTTGAGCATAGTTAATGGTGCAGCATGACCAAGGCATGAAAGACTGATGTGTGAATGAAATGTGCTTGCCATTGAATGCTCTGACAATATCAGATTTCATTCTTTGAATTGCATAGCCATAATTTGCACTGTTTTTTTTGCAATGTCTACAGCTGAAATGAAATGCTTGTAAAGTCTCATAGAAAATTTGAAGAAATTCACAATGCAATAGTTTTCTGCAGTTCATGCTTTTTTCTCTACAGGATCTTCATTATAGTTTTAGACCCTGGCATTAAAAGATTGAATATGCCAGTGATCTCATCTGTTTTAACATATGCTACACTTGCCAGTTGTCAGAAATTTTTAATGTAGATAGTGCTTTACAAGCTCATGATGGAGGAGAATAAATCCAATTGTAGGTTTCTCAAGTAACATTCTTTTTTAATTAACTTTTAATTAGTATAAGCAGAGTAATTTCTGCTGTGTATATGACTTTCTTGCTAAGCATTCAGAGATTGTTGGTTTCCTATCAGAAATATTGGGAGAATGGATGTTAAGTTCCTTTCTTTAAAATCTTGAACCTTAAAACATATTTAAAGTTGTTTTAAAACAAAAATGCTAATGTAATTTGCTCTTTAATCACTAATAATGTTGTTTCTAACAATTTTGCTAATTTTGATGAGTTTTTTGATGATAGATGCTTTTGGAAAAGGTCACGTGTTGAAAGTATTGGGAGCTGTCATAGGGAGCCTTAGCACACATCCTGTATGTTGCAGATTTTATGAAATTGTGCAGCAGAGCATGTCACAGATGCTGCAGGTGTCAGTCACAGACCACAGTTTAGCTTTGTGGTGCTTCTTTGCCTTTTGTGCAGTTTTACAGTGAACTTTTAATGTATTTCGGAGTGCTTTCTTTCAAGGAGGCTATCCCTGTGCTCTTAGTGAGTGGAAAATTATGCCACAAAATATAGCTTTGCTGGTTAGTCTGAGGTAGAATTAAGTTGTTCATTTTTTTCAAGGCGGTATTTGTTTCCCTGCAATCTACTAATCCCAAAGCCTACATAAACTGCAGCTAAGGTATGATAAACAGAGAATGTTCAAAACAGACATAAAATTATTTAAGAAAATTCCCCCTAAATATACTAGCAATAGCAGCAGTATTATTATTGTTGTTGTTGTTGTTGTTCTCCTTGTTATTTGAAGAAAAGTAAATACTTTTCTTCCAAGGAAACTTTTTGTTATGTTATGGATGCTGTGTTGTTCTGTCTACCTTATCCTAAGATTCATATATCTTTGCTGTGACAAAGCCCATATGGGGAAATGGTTATTGATACAGTGATGTGCCATTCAGATAATTTTTTAATTTGTTTTTAATGAAAACCCACAGAAAGTCAGATATTTATTATCAGGGATACCATGGGAAAAATGAGAGTATGCAACCATGTCAGTGTCATTACAATCCAGATACGGTAAAAACTAAAATCTAGTGCATACAAATTTCAACTCTGCAGATAATGAGAATTTAATTCCAGATAGAAGTAGTTTCTCCATAAAAAAATTGTTGAATAATTCCAAAATAATACAATACTGTAGGTTAAGAACAACCTAAATAAACTGTAGAGTTGGAATTCTTAACATAGTTGCTGCTTTTATGAATGTAGGATTTTTATGATTAATACTAGAAGTGCAAAGAATACATTTTACATATGATTAAATTTTTTGTTTGGTTCCACCCCCCACTCCCCACCCCCCCGAAATTTACTTTTGGGGAAATTTACTTTTTTCCTTCTTTTGAGAGAAAGAACAAATGAAAACTCTCTGTTAGCTGATTAAAGATTTTTTTGGCATACAGAGCATGGAAATTCTAAGACTGCAATTTTTAATATTCTTTTTGATTTTTAGGTTGTGAATATGATCTTGGAAAATAAACCAGTATAAATTGATTCAGTGTGAACTTTAATTTATTGTGCAACTAATCTGAAATGATAGGACTAAGAGCTATGAACTATCTTCCTTTATAGTAAAAATTCATCAACACTGAAACCTACAGATGAAGTACATGTTTGCAACAAATGTTTTTCTACCACAAAGCTATGCAGTTCTTTGAAAGACAAATGAATATCCATTTATACTGCTTATGAAACTTTTATTATAAATCCTGAAACTAGATTTTAAGAGAAAGATGTAATACCTATCTATTTTAGTTATTTCTAAGTTTAGAAAGAATTTTCAGAATCTCTATAATTTCATATTATGAATTTACAGATTTTTCTGAGTATCGTTTAAATTGAAGTGACTTTTCCTGTATTAGGTGTATTGCTCTAAGAACCAATTGCATTGATAGAATGTTTCACAGACCAGATGTGGCTCATTAACGTATTTAATGCACAATATACAGCAAAATGTATTAATTCTTTGAGTACAATTACAATTGGGTCTATACCTGAAAGAAAGAGATTGCTACTTCTGAACAGACTTTTTTATCACTATTCTTCTGTCAGTTTTATAAATTTAAATACACTTTGAGGAAAAGATAGGATATTCTTTATCAAAAATATAATAAGATGCCTTCTGTAATATACAGAACCACATATTCAATCAGCTCTTTAAACACATAAAGATTTTCTATTACCTCCACTTTTAACAGTCAGAGAATGCTAATCAAAAGGAATGGTATCCTCCTGATAACAACAATTACCAGTTAAAATGGCCTAGTCTTTTCTCTAATGACTGTATCTGTTGAAATACCATCCTGTTTGGTAACATCTGTTGAACTTCTAAACTTTACTCATCCTTGGAGTCTTGTTTTCTATCAGTGGCTGCTATAGCAGGTTGGAGATGATGAAATCCCTGGTTAGCTTCTCACACAGCTGAACACTGTTTCCTGATGAAGAAGCTGTAGGAGGTTATGGGAATCACTGGTGATGTGCCTTTGTGCACGGATTGTCCCCAGCCTTCATCTCTGAGGAGCACTAACAAACATGAAAAAAAGTTATTCATCACTATCACAACACTGTAGACTTCCAAGGTGCTCTATGAATCTGTAGGAAGAGATAGTCTTTGTGTTGATAAGAACTTGCTTTCCCTCTTTAGCATCAATGAGTAACTGGTGCTAGCTACCGTGCCCAAAAAACTGTTTCAAAGCACAGAGCAAAAGACATCCAAAAATAAACATGAAAGCAGAAGGCTACACACGAGGAGATCTGGTCATGCACATCCTGTTGGGTCACTGGCTTGCTCCACCTCTAATAGTTGGATTCTTTTAAACAGAGTAGGAGTGAAATATATGTATTTGAGCAGTGTTATCATTACAGAAGTTCTCTGTAGTTCATCCTCAAGCTTTGTTCTTTCATGCAATTGCAAACTGATTCAAACCCAGACAGGAAGGGAGTGAATCTGCTGAGAGGTGACTTATTTTTAGAGGTCTTTCCTACCACAGTGAATTACTCAGCCTTTCTTGGATAACATACAAATAACCAATTTCCTTTTGTGTGGAATAAGATTATGTTAGAAGTTACTGAACATGCCTTGAGAAACATTTGATCTTGAGTAAATGAAGAACAGCTATTACTTCGGTATGCAGTGACTTTGGAGAGAGGGAGTCTTGGCCCCTATAAGGTCAGAATGAATATTTTAATTCTTTTTTATTCATGTTCAGCAGCACTTACACATCATCTAGTCTGATAAACAGTAGTGTAACTTGCTTCCTGCTTTTGCCCATCTGATGACAATTCAGTAGCCCTCAGCAGACTTCACTGCTCTGAAATTACAGCTTTGAGAGAAGCAGCTTTCTTACCATCTTTGTTTTCTGAACACTATGAATGTTAGTTTTTAATGAGCTAGTTTAAAAACAGATCCTCTGTCAGAACAGAAGAAATTTTACATACCGTTTCAGTGGAATGCTGTGTAGGAAATGCATGTATGAAATGGCATGCTGACGTAAATGTCGCAGCACTGTTCAATGAGGTTTCTGAATAAGGCTTAAGTTCATCAGAATTGAGACCACAGCTCTCAGTGCATTTGCATGTAATAC